CTGAAGCACTATTCATTTCTGTGTGTGGATATCCAAAGGAGATAGAGGTCAATGAAATGTGAAATTAACATTATGCAAACAGCAGATAGATGATGCAACCACACACGCACGAGAAAAAAGAAAAAGGAAATGATGAACAAAAGTGCATTATGAGTATGAACTCCTACGAGGATGGTGGGCTGTTTGTTCAGTGCAGTTGGAGCAATGATACAAGAATCTGCTGAGATGCAACAGGTTGAGGATTATTAAATGAACCATCTCCCTTCGAATGTTTTCTTCCTACACACTGATACAGTATATGTATATGAATTAGTATAACATATTTCGTGTTTTCACTAATCTATGAATTTACTCTACAGCAGTTGTGCAATTCTACACAATCTGAACTTGAAACTTGAGGGTTTAATGCAGTTCATCAGTACCCTGTTTAATCATCGCAACGCCACGGCAATGTCACATTTGAACTTTCTGAAACATTCATGGGTGGCAAATTATGACTTACCACAATCAACAATGGGAACTATAGTAACACTGCACAATAGAGGAGACCTTTTTTTCTCATATGTATCTTGTCCTCTGCCTTATTCTACCGAATGAAAAGCTGGCATATCAAATGGACGTGAGCATAATACCTGCATTTATTACCCTGAAGCCCTGAATAATGATCCCAAATTGCACTAAGCCTTGAAGGAACTCAAGCAGATAATTATTACCCTTCATGCATGCTGTGTGACAACTCTTCTCAAGTACAGAGTATAAGACAAGGTTGTTCCCTCAGAACATGACAGGTTGATATCCACTGTGGTGACACCATCTTTCTTCCATTGTTTTACAAATGGATTCATAGCTGGCGACTATCCTTTTCCTGACAGCGAAGAGCTGAGTCAGTCTATGGCTCACAGAGGAGCAATACGGAGCGTGAATAATCCAGGTCCATGAACTTACATGGTCTGCATTCATAGCGATGATAATCTAATCAATCTATCATCCATCCGTGACCCCTAAAGTATGCAATGCAGGATTTCTGACTGGATTTTTATCACAAACAACCACAGATGTTGAATTCTTCATCAGCGTTAAAGACTTGCTCGAACCTGCCGAGCTCAGATGAAAGCAGGACTTTGTGGAGTCAAAAGGAGTCTGCTGTCTTAATTAACCGCTTCAGCCCAACCTATCAGCGGCATCACTGACTCATATCTGAGGCAAAGATTTATATTTAGAATGAGCAATTAGTCCGTTTATCCATCTGCCATTAAAGGCCTAATGGACAGTATTCACTGTGTGGCTGAGAAAAATAAAATCAAACTCTACCACCATTTATGATGCTGTTTACAAGAGGGTGAGGTGGTTGTGGATTAGATGGTAGACAGGGTCATCTACCAGTTAAATGGTTGGTGGTTTGATCATTGACTTGTCTAACTTGGGCAAAGTACTGAAGCCACAGCTGCCCCCGATGTGTGTCGAGGAGGTGTGAGTGTGAAAATCAAGAAGTGCTGAGTATGGTGGCCCTTAGGGATCGACTCCAACTTTAGAAAACAGCCGCGAATTAAAGAAAAATGCTGCAAAAGCACACAAATAATAAAGGAAGTAATTTTGGAGGAAATGTGATGCAAAGCATCGCACTGAGACGTGCTTAAAAGAAACAGAGGACTCTTCTGTGTTGTGAGGGAGAAAAAGATGAAGGTTATGTGTGTTCTGATCACATGATAATATTGTGGATGTATCCTTGTTATTATTAGCTTTCCATTATTGTCTTCCCAAAGCTCACGTATCTTCTGTTGTGAGCTTTTCATTCACACTCTTCTGCTCATCCAAGTCAGGGTCGCGGGGGAGGGGCTGGAGCCTATGCCAGCTACCATAGGGCAAGAGACGGGGTACACCCTGGACAGGTCGCCAGTCTGTCGCAGGGCAACTGGCTTCTTTTGTTTTTATTCAACTTCAATTGTGTTTTGTGTGCTTTTGAAGTATTTTTCTATTTGCTGGTATTTTTTTAAGTTGCAGTGCGTTTGACCTCTCAAGGCCACCGTACCTTAGGCACAGAACAAACAGCTGCAGGAATGTGTGTGTGATTAGGTGACTGAGGCTTATAGTACGAAAGCATTAATTTACCTTAAAATTACAAATATCTATCTCAATCTTAAAATGTGATAGAGTTCACTCTTTTTCTTTCATCATTAACGCAGACTTCATTTAGCACTTTTGTTACAGTGAATTCTGTAAGGATGCACAGAAACAAGCTGAAACACTGCAAACAGTCTTTGGCAAAAAAGAAAAAAAGTGCTTAACAGATTATTTTATCTGCTGCAAGTGATGTCAAAACGGTCAAAGACTTCTCTTTGCAGGTTAACAATATATACTTATGTATTTATCAATGTTAAACTGCGTTACACTGTACAACTGGCTGTTCACAAGGTCTACTGTTGTGCAGACTCTGCCAACAGAAAACCTCGGGGCTTAACCTTGCTGGAACTATTTTCTATTCTCTTCTGTTTTTGTACATTGATTGGTCCGTATACCTGAGTTATATATATACCAAAACCTTTTTTTCATTTCTTATAATTATCGAGACATATGGTAGCAATCTGTAAGGGTTTCACTGCCTATGGAGCACTTATTCCAATACAAAGTTTTTTCCACTCCCACGCTGTCCTGTTTGCTTCAAGAAAATGACAAGAAGATTAAATACCAGGTGGAGCAGTCATATGAGTAATAACAGAAAGTCTGCATCAGCTGTATTCTCTTACTGCAAGCTTTTTAATTTCTCATATGTCATGTTAGGTGTGACGGCATTAGTTTAATCCAGGTTTCTTTCATACAAAATGTAGCAAGAGGACTCTTTTTATCATTTCGCTAGAACGCAATAAAGACAATGCCCCACTCTTTTTCACGTTCATTGACATGTACAGCAGCAAACACTGAGAAACCTGCTGAGCTCCTGATACAGGATGAATCCACCAGTGTTTTCACACTTATTTTCAAACCGTGGAAGCCTGAATGTGCGTCTGATGTTACAATACCAACATAACCTGGCACCAGTCCATGCCTTTGGATTATTACTGAGTAGGTCTGGTATGTGCTGCGTGAGACTTCACAGTTTAGTGATGTCACTGGGGAAGTATATCCTCTTTTGTATGTTTTGCCTTTCGCTTCGGCACTCTCCACTGCTGTATGACATGTTCCCGAGTGTGCAGAATAGAAAAGTGGCAATAAAAACAGTTTTTAGAGACAGAAAGGCGGGTAAACACATTACGCGCAGCTACAGGAGACCAAATTTATTTTGCCAATGATGCCCGTGAAGGACCCTTCAGGACTAGATGGATAAGCCTGTTAGGAACGCTCTCTATAAGGTAATAAGTAAGGAAGACTAGGTAGTAAATGGCTTTTTTGCTTGCGTTCGGTCTCCGGGGATATTGTCTCAATGAATTAATATTGAAGTGGGGACTCAGGCCAGAGTTTATACCCATAAAAATCGGCAAATTATGGCCATGGTGACGAGCCACTCCATCAGCAGGGATGTTAATAATGTACAATATGCTGCTGCTAGGTTAAAGTAAATGATTATTACACCAAGGGAATATGTGAGCTAAAGTAAAGGCCCTCCACATCTCATCAGACCATAACGTGTCAAACAGACATTAGCCATAGTGATTGAAAGAAGAAAAATCTCCTAAATAAAAATATTATATGTGGTGGCAAATACTGAAATCTACCACTCTGCATTATTCTCTATCCTCCCCTTTATTCTGTCTCGCACACAGACACCCTTTTAGCCTTGCAGAAACCTTTGATACTCCAAATTGCTTTTTTTCTCAATACTTTTTGAACATAGACGAAAAGTGAATTGAAAGAGCTCAGGAGGGGGAAGGAGAGAGAGAAAAACGGCTACACTTCAAATGTCAAAATCTATTAACAAGCAAGTGGAATGGCAGTTAGTCTGACAGAGCCTTCTGAAATGCATGCATACTGTTTCAGTAACAATTACCTCCAATAAGCTTCAAAGTTTTCCATTTATTTGAACAAACGCTGAACACGGGAGAGGATTCGGCTTTGGAGCTCAGCCTGGCTGACAGAGATACATGAGGAAAAATAAAGTACTTGGCAGCATTCTCTGCTGTAGATGTAGGAAATTTGGCAGTAGCACTTTGTTTGTGTAACTCTCACCATTTGGACGGACTTCAGTCCAGCTTTTTTACTTGAGCTCCAGAAATCTATCTCAATATGACAAAAAAAAAAATAAGAGATGGAAAATGATTTTTTCTCTTCTTCACACGGTTAAGATCCTCTCTAATAAATGATCAGAGACAAGGAGCAAATAAGTATCCTGACTGGTGGAATTATTGTGGTTCAAAGGGTTAGACCCATTACAACTCAATATGCGTGGCTGTTTTTTTCTAAAAGAAGAAGAAGAAACAGCCACTATCCCTCACGCTAAACTCAGATTCACCTATAGGCAGATGGAAATCTCGGACACGTGCATTCTTTGGGGTCTGGCACGTCTTCACACACTTCGCGGGATTCGTGTTTGAACATGATCGCCGGGCAATGTGCTGTCACATCACTTTATAATCAGCCTGACGTCTGCACAAGACGAGAATCGCTTGTCGAGATGCGATCTAATTTTTTTTTTTTTTTGCAGCGCTTGTGCTACAAAAGAATCCAAGCTCAGAGGCGCAAAAGCCCAAGACGCTTTGGGGTGCACTTGGATTCATTGTTGAATGAAAATAAAAGTTGTGATCGTGAAATTAAAATAAATAAATAAATAAATAAAGCGAAGACGCTTGATATGATTCGACACTCACTTTCACGGGAGCAACATGTTTTCAGTTTTGGAAAGCTTCAAATAATCCACAGCAGCTAGCAACCAAAGTGTCGCCTCGAAGCGAAGGCGCAGTTTTCACACAATCAGCTCGTAAATGGATGAATCACATTCTGACGGGTTCTTTATCAAAATCAGCTTTATCGCACAAAAAGCCTTCGTTTCTCAGCCTGCGTGACCCTACCTGCCATCGAAGTCTGCACTTGCTCCAAAGCTGCAGCTGCACAGCAACATCAACTTTATCCATAATTCCATGATTTCGGGAGTTACGCGCCCACGCTGTTTCCAATCCTCCGTAAATCCAGAATCACCGGGTAGGAAACTGTGGAGTAAACAGCGACACAACAACAACAAACACACAGTTTGTTTCCTCCTGGAGGTGCGCGGGCAGGAGAGGTCTGACGGCGTCCTTCAGACTGTTCATCTGAGATATTCAGGAGGAGAGAAGGCAGCCCGATGCCTGGAAGCAGAGTGACTCCGATGAGTGTGCGCGCGCGTGTGAGGAGCGGGACGCACTCTGCCGGGAAGAGCGCGCACAGCCGCCCCTTACCCACCAACCCACCCCCTCTCTCTTCTTTCCTCCCCTCACAAGTTCAGGCAGCGGGCTCTCAACCAACAGCACCCACTGCAGTCTGACCTTCGCTCGCTGCAGTCTCAACGGAGCCGTGGTGTGCAGCCACTCAGTTGCGGAACCTTAACGAGAAAGAAGAGGCTCCACGTGTGGCTCCGTTACACGCTGTGGAAAATGCCTTAATGAACCTGCTGAGACACGCAGGTGTATTCTTGGCCACCCAGGTAGATGTTGCTCACGCAGCAAAGACAAAACAGTGAAAATTACTGAGGGTATAAAAAGAAAGCTGCGCAAAATAGAAAATCAGTGGTTTGTTAAAGTTTGAGGCGCACGCGCACTCAACAGGTGGAAATACTTATTAAAAAACAACCTTAATATGTATAATTTTTGTAAACAAACACAAGTGGATGCATTTAATCAAAACATAGCGCTTACAACTACCGACTGTTTCTGTTTTCTCAAAAAGCCAAAAAGCTTTTCTGAACGACACTGCGCATGCGTAATTGCTGTCTTTCTATTCTTTCACACGAGGAACCTGTTAGACCTCATCACCTGTCTGATTCCTAAGCGGCACTCCACATTCAAAGTCTCCTGAACTGCGCTTCCTGTTTGGGTGCAGAATGATGAAGGCTGCCTCATTTCCTGATGTGACAGCTTTCTGTCAGTGAACCAACCAGAGGGAGTGCCCGGTTGGCCTAACAGCCTTCTGGAGCACGCGATGAATGACGGGAAGGTTCATGTGATTACTGCTAGTAGTACACAGTCGCTTTTAAATCATGCAACCCTTCGCCTTCACTGACTGAGTAATGAATCTGTGATGGCACCCAGGTCTGACCTCAGCTGGTCGCAAAAAGGCTGGTGTCCCGGTTTGTGTATAATTAGACTATCAATCACAGTATTGACCTGACTGTAAGAACGTGATTCCTTGTGTTATTATTGCATTTAAATATGAGCACTGGGCTTATGCCGATCGCAAGGGCCACGTCTCATTACCGGTAATATTCATATGTTGTGGAAAACTGAGACACTGTGTGGATTTTAAAGGGTCACTTACACAGCACATCTGTGTTTGTTAGCAGGAGTATACTCAGGATGTGTGGGATTATTTTTAATGGACATTTTACCAGATGTGGTGCTCAGCCAAACTTAGAAGTTATGTGTTGAGTTCCATTACTGTGCAAAGGTCTTAGGCCACCCCTCATTTCTTTATATTTTGCTTCCAAGAGGCCAGAGTGTCTTGTAATATTTTGAAGTGATCTTATACAACAGCTCTCCAGGCTTTCTTTCAATGTTTATCTTCAGACATTTTTCAGTCCAGTCCTTGTACTTGACAACTTTCAGAGGAATGTTTTTGTTTTTACTTGTTTTTTAGTTGTTTACCGCTGACTTATTAATCATCCACACATTAAACAAGGATGTATCTGATCCATTTAAAGTTCATTGAACCCTCATCAGAAATAATCTCAGTGGAAAGGTGGCTGCCAAGAAGTCATTCTTTAGGAAGGGAAATGGGAAGAAAAGGCTGAAGTATGCCAAATTACACAAGAACTGGACTAAAAATCAGTGACAACAGGATTTATGGAGTAATGGATCCAATTTTGAAATTTATGGCTCAAATTAGTATCAATATGTATGCAGGAGGTCAGGAGAGGTACAACAGTGAGTGTCTGCAGGCATCTGTAAAACACAACGGCGGGTTCACCATGGTCTGGAGCTGCGTTTCAGCCAGTGGTGTGGGAGATCCTGTCAAAATTGATGGAATTATGAACACGTGGGAACAGTCAAATTTTGATCCACCACTAACATCACCTGGAAAGCGTCTGACTGACAAGGGCTTCGTTTTTAAGCATGATAATGATCCCAAACACACCATCAAAGCAGTAAAAGTATACCTGGATAGAAAAAACACACACAATGAAACATGATCAGTTATAGATTGGCCTCCCCAGAGCTCGACTGAATCACCCTGGGATCATCTTGACAGAAGTCAGAAAGGCAGCCAACATCCAATAACAGCTTTGAATGTCTTTCAAGAAGCCTGGAGAACTATTCCTGAAGACGACTTCCCACTTTCCTAGCAAAACATAAAGAAATGAGAGTTGACTCAATACTTTTGCACAGTATTGTAGCTCCAGATTTGGATCTAAGACGCAGTTGTTCATTTCAAGAGGAATGAATCTCTAACAGCGGTCCCCAACCTTTTTTGTGCCACGGACTGCTTTATGTCCGACAATATTTTCACGGACCAGCCTTTAAGGTGTCGCAGATAAATACAACAAAATAAAACCAGTACTGGTACCAAAAAACGAAGATTTATTCATAGCACACGGGAAAAGACCCAGGGAAACCGAGCTAACAACAAAAAACATAACGTTAAAAACAGATAAAAACCCTGAGAACCATCAGTTTCACTCTCGAGCCTCCACTCTCGCAGCCCGGTACCAGACGACTAACGGAGCAGTACCGGTCCATGGCCCGGGGGTTGGGGACCGCTGCACTATATGGACAACATGCTACGAATTGTGCAAACCAAGCAGGGCACTTCACAGCAATCAGCATCATTTAAAGTAAAGATTGACCTAATTTCGTTGTTTGTTTAAAATCACTGAACAAAAAAAAAACTCTAGGCGTCAACATATTCCAGAAATTATATTAAAGCGTCCGACTAATCTTAATTTACTGCAACTGTCAAGGGTATCTGAACCCCCCCACCCACCCACCCAAAGAAAAAAGAAGACATCTATCTGTGTGATTTGGGTGAACTCGGTTTTAAACAAGCTCCTGGGGAGAGTGAGTCATTGTTGCATTTTAAACAGGCTGTGCCACGGCAGATACAAAGTAGAAAATAAATGCTGAACCTGAAAGCAAGCATGGAAATCCTAGGTGACAATGTGACAAGTAGCATGGGAAGCACAAGAGAATACATTACAGGATTATTAGGGTGTGCAAAATAACAGCAGCTGAGCCCTACCAGGCGACCAAAAAGGAAATACTATACATAATTAACTGCCAGTACTGTGGACACCAATAATTAAACTCAGTGCTGTTTATTAGAAAATTATGCAAGTCAACTGAAACACATTTTATAGTTCACACAGGTAAAATATAAAAGAGAGAGTGAGATATTTAAGATCACAGAGGACGTAGGAAAAATCCCTTTGTACCTCTTTCACATGCACTCGTTATGAGTGGCTGCTGTGTTAACCCAAGACACATAAACAAGGTCAGTGTTTGTCAAAGAGGATAATTGACACCAACAGAGAGTGTACCCAAATATGGAGCAGTGAGCTGTTGTGGGCAACCAGCCACAAGCTCAGCAGCATAATGAAATGGAAAACTGTTGGCAAAAACGCAAGAAATGAGCTGAATTTTTAATTAACTAATAAGGTGAAGTTAGCAAAACAACTCCAGCTCCATCATTTCCTGGAAGAGGATTTTGTCCCCCCCAAAAAAAAAAAAAAAAAAAAATCATCATCCAATGGTTAAAATTTCAGATCCCAATTTAAGTATAAAATTATGCTCTAAATCTCATTATTAGCAACTACATAAAGAAAACACCTCAGATTAAATAGCAATAAACTATGCATACAACGTCTGTGTAGTCACAGGTTATTTTACATTGGAGAAACTCGCATGTAGTTGACTTTTGCATCGAGGTCAGCCCTCTAACCACGCAAATAAAAAATGCATTAAGCTAAATACGTGAGCGACTCTGCAATGCATTCGCAGAAAGGTTTCAGGAGGTGAATCATTAGAAAAGAACGTCTCTGCATTTAGATGAAAATAAGCCAATAACAGCTCATCTGTTTTATCTAAGCAAAGAATCCACTGTTACTGTTCTGATGTTTACTCTAAGCCAACTGCCTTCACCCTCTGCATTCTCCTTCCGATGCACACTTTAAGTAGTGCCACTGTTCCCCTCTTTTGTATGTATATGAATTTCTGTAATGTGCACTTGCGGCGCCACAAGCATGAACAGAGAGTAGACTTCTGAAATAATTCCGATCCTTGGAAGGAGCTGTGTCTGTGGCCATTTACCTCGGGATAGATTGACTCTGCTGACTGAATTCAGATGAGCCTGACGTCTGCGAGGCCTGCATCTCTCTCACATCTATCCCTTCAGTGGGAGTGGGAAAAACTGGCTCCTTGGCTACCTCCCCAGATTTCTCAAGCAGCTGCATCAGACTGTCAAAGGTGACAACACTGGATTTTTTCTTCTTCTTTTTTCCCAGAGAAACACACGAATAGTCTCAGATGCAAGACTGAGGGCTTAAGGTGCCTCACTGTGTCTACAGTTACCGGGACTGGAAATACGGAGCGCGCTGTGTGATTTCCAGTTACGAGGCACTGAACACCGTGCGTCTAATCAAGCGCGCTGACCTTTTCACCAGCTTCATAAAATATTCATTACTGCTGAAAGTATTCCAGAATGCATACCATACCCGCATTGCTTTTTTATGAGGAATAATCAGGTTCCTCTGTAGAACCATGACAAATGCGACACTGTATATTACCCGATGTGACTCGAGTTTAAATCCACCTCTGACCATCTCTCGCAAGAAAAAAGAAAACAACAAACAGAAGAAACGTAGGTGAGATGACAGCGAGGCGATTCCTCACCTCATCTTTAAATGCACAAGAGCTGTTAGCACTGAATTTCTTTTGTGTTAATCAGAAGTAGCCGACTACTGAGCACTATCCCAGAAGGCTGTATACAGACTATTTGCGAAAACAGCATGAGGACGTATGTCATACTTCATTCACAATATGGGTGTGCCAAGTCCTGCTGCGTCTGTGTGCGCTGACAGCTTGAGTCACGCAGTTTAGGCAAAGACAAAAACATAGCATTGCAGTTGGGGAGAAGCTTGAGCACTTTTGCTGCAACTAAGCGGCAGATGATCAACTAAAGTGTGTAACTCCCGGGAATGGCATGGTTGCTTTAACGTTTAGCCTGAAAGAAACTTTAAAAGATGACCTTTGACAGTACAGAAATAATAAACATGTATTTTCTGCAGTTAAGGCTGAGCTTGTAAAAAAAGAAAGTAAATTGTTGAGGGTGGTTGAAAAAACACTCGTGATACAGCCAGAAGCCGGATAGTTTATCAAACCCT